CACCCAAAGATATCGAAGATACAGACGATAGCGGAATCGGTTCCCTCTGGTCCACTCACGTAGACCTTCTTGAAGTCGCCCACGGACTTGTACACTCCTAGGTTGATTTCGATAGCATCAGTTTCTGGGAATTTCGTAGAACGCGAAACGCACCTTTGGGCTCATAGTCCGACTGGACAGGTGGGATACTGCAGCAAGCCTTGTTGGTGTTGTGGATTTCGGTCGACATCGTTCGTGCGCTCGAGTGTAATCTGGGAACAATTTGGCGAGAGATAAGACGCAGGCGAGAGAAAATGGACATGATTTGGAGGGCCTTATGGCGTGGCTGACTGTAATGACGTAGACAGCGAAGTCCGATTCAAAGCGCAGTGTGATCATGATTGCTCACAGATGGCCAACCAGCCGAAGCCATGAAATGGACACTGGGAGATGGCTAGGACACACTATGTAGAATACCCAATCCGCGTCTTAGGACAGCCTGCTGGCCAGTGCCAATTCGAACTTTTGGCGGGATCAGAAATCGCCACGTGGAGCGCATATAAACGCGCGAAATTTGGCAATTTTTTCATCACTTCCGACCACCGTCGTGTCTCTGTGGCACGACAACTCTCAACGCTCTACGTGTTCTGGGTACTTGCTGCGGCTGGATAGAACAAAAAAAACTTCATTGTTGGGTTCAATTAAGCCGGAGCGCTCCTCAGGTTGGCCCTTCGGGGGCATCGGTGAGGAATGCTTGACTATGAGACCCATACATCCTTATTTCGTCTTTTTGTCCATCGTAGTACATACGTAAGTAAATATCATCGTAAATAGTCCTCAATAGATTTCGTTTCACTCATACCATATCTTGGGATTCATGGATGTCTGCGGTGGAGGAGCGCGCCAGAGAGCACATAGGTTGCTGCCGCGGCAAATTCGCAAATGAGGCCCATGACGAGGAACGGTACCCAGTCCCCCGTCGTGGGATTGAACATGGCAAGAGTGGGATTTGGGGAGGATCTGCTTCCAAAGGGATCTTCGGCGGACCAGGCGGCCAGTATCTCGAATGCCGCCCGTGCGCCCAAGAAGAGCATGGAGAATGTGACGCCCCCGAGGAACTGGCTGCAATCAAAATGGAGTCGAAAGATGTGAATGCAGACGTACCTTGCGGCGGTAGCTCCTCATAAGGTATCGATGTGTCCAACCAATTATCGTTGTCATGAAAAGGATAATAAAGGCAGCCTAAAGTGAATGAGCGCCTGGTGGGTTGGTAGAAATAGGAACGCACCGCATAGACACAAGCTGCAACTCTACGCAGAATATTTCCCACCGAGATATTGTCGTTGACATGGGTTCCTAGCAGACCAGCGGGGATGCTCAATGCGAAGCCTATGGTTGCAAGAATGGCCACAAGATAGTACAGGCGCCGGACGCCCATCTCATCGCTGTATGAGCGGTACCCACTACGACTAAAGTCAGGCATAGCTTAGAGCTTGTGGATGCGCGACGCACCCGAGGGACAAGAATCCAATGGCTGCCAAGAGAAGGAAACCAAATCCAACATGGAAGAGCAGATAGGCCACAATATACAAGTCCACGCTTGGGTTTTCGATGGTTTGAGTGACTACAGTCAATACACCGCCTGCAACGCGTACTGTGAATGGTTTATGAGCATTTACGCGTCACTATGTCCAGAAAGCCCCATACTCAGCGCAAAAATCGCCAACATCATCCAGCCAGCATCGCGTGAGAGCAAAAATCGTGCAAAATAGAAAAGACATATTCCGGCAATGGGGACATAAAATGCGAGTTGTGCGGCAGCTATGTCGCCGCGTACATCGAGGGCCATGTCGCGTAATGGCGGGATCGGACAAGCGCGATTCAGGACGCGAGCACGTGCCGTTTGCCCAATTCGGATGAAGGAGCGACGAGCTCACTTCATTCAAGATACTCACTGCATTTGCAGTACGTACTGACCGTGTAAAGAATGTTTAAAAGCTCAGTCAGGCCGGTGAATTGTTATGTACTGCAGCAACATATGGGTATACGTAAATTGTACGACTGGCTCCCTTCAACTCATCTGTCTTTCTTCGAATCTAGCGTTGCCGAGGCAGCTGGTTTTTTGGATGAAGAGCCGTCCTCGTACACGGAGGAGACGATGTAGGAAACAAGCACAGCGTTGGCCGCGACAATGGCCGTAATTGCTGCAAATGTTGCATTTCCTACGACCAATGAGCAATGTATAAGAACTACCACAGTGAGATGAGAAAAGGTTTACCATCCCAAATGTAGTTCAGGGAAATGAAGTATGATGACAATGGGAGGACGCCTAAGGAGACACTGAACACCACCAACTTGACGAGAGTTCCCCTACGCTTGTATTAGGGCGCATTTCCGCAATTTCGTTGAAGCTAGTGGTACCCAGATGCAGCTTGGTTTGCCAGTAATGCTGGTGCTGATTGTTCCATGACGGCAAAAGGCAAGCTCAGCAGAAGCACGTGCTGGACTGAAGCTTCATTTCGACGTCCACGTCGATGCGATCATGACATCGAACGCGACCGTAGAACGCACCGAGCAGCCAGCGGAACCATCGTCAGCAACGTCTTGGAGTTGGAACACCTTGCTGCAGCCGTCGGAATGGGACGTGTTGGTGTACTCAACCGCGTTCAAGCTGTTGTTATTCCCTGCATAGTGCGTTACATGGCACTCAGTGTGTGCAAGTACTGACTTCCCTCAGTCGTTCCACAGATTTCGAAGTGCATAGAAATTGGCTGGCAATAACCCATACACTCCCTATATCAAAGTGGTACTACGATGTGCGTACTGGCTCGTGTCCGCAGTTAAACGTCTAACGGCGCTCTGTAGACTACCTCGGAATGGAGTAAATCTCTCGGCCTATAACGAGTTCAAGCCTTCCTGACTTTCTACATAGCCCTTGACTATCCTCCGTTCTTTGCCTACTTCGAGAAGCTATTGTCAATCCCGGCAGCGCTCATCGACCCTGCCATCGTCGACTTGAATAACCTCAACTACAATGCCTGGTCTGTCATCGCGTACCAACGTACAACAGTCATCATCACTGAACTTGTTCTTGGTGCGGCATTGCTAAGGTGTGCTCTTACAGCTAATTGCAGCGTATTTGGGACTGACCGCCTCAGATTGACGCGCGACGCCATAGATGGGCGCATGCAAAAGATCATTTCCATTTCCTTGTTTCTTCACCCCGGGTTCCTCATTGTAGACCACATCCACTTCCAGTACAATGGGTTCATGTTTGGGATACTGGTGTGGTCAATACTCATGGCACGAAATGTGCGTCTTCCACTGCATGAAATAGCGCGCACACTGACAGTGTCTTTAGGGCCACAAGCTGATGAGCGGTGTGCTATTTGCTGTTCTGCTCAACTTCAAGCACATCTACATGTACCTTGCTGTGCGCACGACCTCTCACGTCGTAGCTACATTCTTGACTTCTTGTTATAGCCAGCATACTTCATATATCTGCTACGCTCTTATTGCTTCGACTCTACTGGCCGTCTGCAGATCAAGCATTTCCTGAACCTCGCCAACTCCGTCATTTTGACCTTCCTATTATCCTTCGGACCATTCGCACTCATGGGGCAGATACCCCAAGTTCTCTCCCGTCTGTTTCCTTTCACACGGGGGTTGAACCACGCATACTGGGCTCCGAATACATGGGCATTGGTCACCGCACTCGACCGCGTCTTCCTATATTGTACGGTAATCTATTGCTGCTTGCTCGAGCACCTGGCTGATTTGATTTCAGTTGCGAAAAAGACTGGGGCACAGGTGAACACCGCAGGCGTCGCGTCCACTTCGCGTGGATTGGTCGGGGACACAGTCTTCGCCGTTCTTCCCAATGTCGAGCCGATACACACATTCACTGTTACTGTTGCGCTTCAGTCGGTTAGCATCCATCAACAAGCGTCGATTTTCGTGTTCACCTCGCCACTAGATTATTTTGTTCAAGCTTTGGCGCAATCCTTCGTACAAGTCTTTTGTGACTGCACTGACGCTGTGCGGCTACGCATCTTACCTTTTCGGGTGGCACGTCCATGAGAAAGCCGTTCTACTCGTGCTTGTTCCGCTCAGGTGATTCTCGCGATGCACTCTTTTGACGACTGCTCAAATACATTCAGCTTGCTAGCAGCGGAACGCCAAGCGTATTTCCGAACATATATGATCTGCAGCATTGCAGGAATCTTCTCATTATTCCCTCTGCTCTTCACGCCTGCTGGTTAGTCGCTTGCTCTGTGTGTAGTACTGTCCTCACAGCAATACAGAGTCAGTCATTGCGGTACTGTATTCCGGATTATGGCTTGTCATCGTGTATCAATCCATATCCAAGCGCGTCTACGAGTATGTTTTCTTCATCGTTGCCTCCCATTGTTCCGCACCTGACCCGGTCCACAGGCTCCCCGGGACGTTTGCACTGGCCATCCTCGACATTGTCGAGCGACTCTATCTCGCCGGCTTTATCCTCCTCCAGGCCTTCCTGACCGTGTGGCATCTTGCCAAACCACAAGAACAATACGCGTTCTTGCCGCTCATGCTGACGAGTGTATACTGTGCAGTGGGGATGGTGTGGGGCTTTGTGAGGCTTATGTATATCTACTTGAATGATACCACATACAAAGGGCAGTTGAATGAAATATAGAATTTGGCATCTCATGCTCTAGTTTAGACATGGAAGAGATAGTTCAAGCAGCGAGCTCAGCTTCCCGTCTCAAGCGGAAGACCAACCCTCCAAGGAAACAGTGGATTGTGCTGCAGTGAGTCATACTGGTGCGTCGTGTGACGGTGCTGGACAAAATAGTGTACGGTATTGTGTAATTCAGAGTCTTTCAGACTGCACAGGCCCATTATCGTCACCCCGACTTCCAGTGCTCTTAGCTCTATCCTGCACAACGAAAGAAACGGTAAGCCCCGACCCGTCACTCTTGACTGTGAATGATAATCGCGGTAACATGGGACGAGCAAAACAAAACAAATACAATAATAGCCCACCGCGGGGGTCGAACCCGCAGCCTTCAGATCGCCTTGGTGGATAAGTGCGTAAAAGTCTGACGCTCTATCCGATTGAGCTAGGCAGGCCCGAGTGTAGCACAGGGCCGTTTAACTCAGACCCTGTCAAAAAATGCTATGTAGTCTGGCTTGGGCCGCTTGGCAGATCATAATCGACAGCCAGAAACTAGACCGTGACGGAAAGTGGGTCTCTCCCAGTGCTGCAAAAATTTTACTTGATACTCAGTGCACACTACCCTGTGATTAACTTAAGGTAAAGACAACCCACTACACAAAATGAAAATGGTTGTGACCACCGCAGGGGTCGAACCTGCAATCTCCTGATTCGTAGTCAGACGCGATGCCATTTCGCCAGGCGGCCTGATGTTTGATCTGATATGCCAAATCAGGAGGGTTTGTGTTTATTTGTCAAGCATTCGTTCTTCGGCCCGGACCGACGTTGCCGTCCAGCGCCTCAGAACCGGAACTGCCTGCCGTAATCCGGGACGGTTGTAGACGGAGGGGTATATATACTCCTTGTCGTGAGGATTATATCCCAAGTGTCCAAATCTCCCGGTCTACAAATCATGACATCGGTAAACTCGTATCTCAGCTCGTTGTTTTCCCTCGAAGGAAAGACTGCGATTATCACTGGCGGAACTCGTGGTATAGGGCAGCAATTAGCTCTTGCTCTTGGTCAGGCAGGCGCAGACATCGTCCTTGTCCAACGCAATTCGACCAACAAGGAGACGTATGATAAAGTTATTGCGGCTGGTCGCAAAGCGTGGATCGTCGAGTGTGATCTCGCAGACAAGGCTGCGATCTCGAAGCTAGCGGACAAAGTCACGAACGAACTTGGCATAACTATTGATATTCTTGTCAACTGTGGAGGTATCCAGCGTCGGACTCCTGCAGAGAACTTTCCTGATAATGACTGGGACGAGGTACGTGCAGAATACTGTCCAGAAACCTATCTGATACATAGAATAGGTTCTCCAAGTCAATTTGAATACTGTCTTCACATTATGTCGTGACTTTGGACGCCATATGCTCTCTTCGCGGGGTGGCGTCGCGCCCGACAATGTCCCCAGCGCGACCCCGAATCCACGGGGAAATGGGAAGATTATCAACATCGCGAGTCTCGTCGGCCACCAAGGCGGACTGACCGTGCCCGCGTACGCTGCTGCTAAACATGGTGTACTTGGTATTGTGAGTACTGTCACACTGACCTTTCAGCGTCAACGCCTGACATGAATTTACATAGACGAAAGCCTTCTCTAACGAATGGAGCTCAAAGGGGGTAAATGTCAACACCATCTCACCTGGTTACATTTCAACCGACGTACGTGTGAATCCCTTCTCAAGAAGACATACTGATTTGTTTTCAGATGAACACAGCACTTATAAACAATCCAACGCGGGCACGTCAAATCCTGGAGCGGATACCTCAAGGAAGATGGGGGACACCAGAAGACTTTGAGGGAGCCGTCGTGTATCTGGCGTCGAGGGCAAGTGATTATGTGTCCGGGGAGGATCTCCTGGTGGACGGTGGCTGGATGGGGCGGTAAAGGTGGTTACGGAAGATTGTAAACTAAATCTCATAACTGTACTGTCAATGAATCAGAAGAGGGCTGAGAAGTTTGGCAGACAACCATGCGCCACAATATATACTGGACACAAAGATCGGGAATCGGCCCGCCTAGCTCAATCGGATAGAGCGTCAGACTCTTATGACTAGGCGATCTGAAGGCTGCGAGTTCGACCCTCGCGGTGGGCTATGATAGCGATGTGCGTTTGTTTTGGTCGTCGACACAAAGCAATAACATGTCATTCAGACAAGACGTTATCGTGATTCCACAGCTAGAACGATACAGCAAATACATAGGACAACGTGCCAAAAAAGCTACAACAGCATGATCCCATCGTTGCCCCATCTGACCTTCAAGTTAACCATCCCATCCCCATCGACGATACCTCCCAAGCTCAGATCCTTCTTCATTATTCTCCTCTCCGCATATTCCCTCATTCTGCGCTTCCTAAAAGCCCTTCTTGCACCTACGGCAGTCGACGCCGGCGTCCAGCGTGCGTCAATGATCTCGAAAGCCCCTCCGTCGTGGTTCGCTCCCCATGCACTGCTCTGCAATTGCCGACCAAACTCTCCTTGTCCAACTCCAGCGAGAAATCTGCCTACGAGCTCATGGCCAGGTGGGGGCATGTGTGCAGCGACAGAGATGAGGCGCACGGTTATTCGTACGTCTGGAGCAGTGGCTACCGAGTGCGACATGGGCCGCAGCATTCCTGCGTGTATTGCACACAAGTATAGATCAGAGTCATCGGTGTATACGCGTCGACTACTGACAGTACGCGACGCTGGAAGTCCGCCGCCCCAAATCCGAGGGCGGGAGTGCAGAGGCGGCGGAATACTTGTTGACAGTGTTGTTGTGTTGTCTATATCCATGCTGTCGAGCGAGTATTTGTTGCGATGTTGCGTTGCGGGTACAGGGTTAGATAATAGACCGTAGGTCCACTCTGAGGTAGAGGGTATAAACGACGCGGGGATGAGAATGTCCGCAAGGGTTTCGAAGACATCAGACGGTGTGACCACACGAGCCTCGTGTGGGGATGGAGTAAAAGGAAACGGTAGTTCTGGGTAGACATATGTTCCCAGGCGGCGGGTGACCGAGGGACGCAGGTGTCGGGAGACTGGACGCGGTGGTGAAGCCTTCAGGACATTCTTGGATGGTATAGCGGGGCGTTGTGGCATATTATTGCTTGAACTGGTCGGGTTGGATTGCTGGGAGTACCATGGCACCTGACCTGTGGGTGGGGGTGGAGGCTGGGGCATCCAGCCCCTCGGTCGCCGGTCGCGTTCAGTGAGGGGTTCTCCTCTTGCGAGTGGTTCTCTGCCGAACATCTCATCTTTATCTTGCAAAGGGGGCGTAGGGGCATCCCATAGCTTGCTGACCTGAAGGCGATGGTCCCATCCTTGCGGCGGCTCTCTTCGAGGAATTGAATCTCGCGGTGGTGGTGGTGGCAAAGTATCACGGAACGGAGGCTCTCGTACCAACCGCTCGAGTTCCCGTTCACGTTCCCTGTTGTCGCGCTCTCGCTGATCCCTCTGGTCCCGCTCCCGTTCGCGTGCTCGATCGCGTTCCTGCTGCTGCTGCTCCCGTTCGTGTTCACGCTCCCGCTCTCGTTCTCGGCGCTCCCGGGGTAATTCCAGCAATGATATGGGTCCGGAAAGCAACGACGGAGTGTTCCTACCGACGCTCGGAGGAGCAATCACCTCGCCAGGTTCAGGAGAGTGGCGATTGAGGTGTGGCTGGGCTACAGGCGTAGGTGCTGGCGGTGGAGCTCGCTGACTTGACGGCGCATCCTGAAGTAAAGCCGCGACGTTCACTGCAAACTATCAGACTCTTTCCATTAATCTCGCAAATGGGACGCACTGTTCGCGGTGACCAACAACGTCAAATTACAACGCGTGTCGCTGATCGAGCTATGGGGTTTGGCTGACTAAGCATTGCGACCGGGGATCAGGGTCCCGCCACCTTCGCAGGGCCGCCTGGCGAAATGGCATCGCGTCTGACTACGAATCAGGAGATTGCAGGTTCGACCCCTGCGGTGGTCAAAACTAAAATTTTTAACAGTTCTGAGTTCAGCAATTCCTGCTCTAACCTTCTTTCGGATTCTCATGGAGGTCTTGAATGCTCAAGTGTACGGGGTTTTTTTTTGCTGTGACATACCTGTAGACAATACGTATCTCACCGTAGCCCGAATGTCGTAGGCCTGACAGGGTTTAGCATGGGGGAGCTACCGCTGCGAATTGGTGAACTTGCTCGGAATCAACAAGAGCGCTAGTGATCGCCCACAATTGACATCATTATTAATCCCCTTGTCATCTTGCTTCCGGTTATGACCTGGCACTAAACACAAAAGTCCAGACGACCTCTTAATTTCTCCCTCGACGATGGACCAGCCCGTGATTCTGATGGTTGAACTTTGGTACAGCCCGGAAGCTGGCATAGGTCCTCTCGCGTCTGGCACAAGAGGCATGGACGGGGACATGACTAGAAAGTTCAGACAACACATTCAATCGCTTGGGATTCCTCCGCCGAGGGCCGATTCCACCAGCTGCACGAGGCCAGACATAATGGAGACGTATTGGGAAACGACAGAGCATGCAGTGTGTACTCAATCGCCGCTGTGGACAGCGCTAAGGGCCTAACACCAACCACAGCTGCATCGCAAGAATGTCGAAACCAGATTCACGACAGGCGCAGAGCGTATACGGACGGCTCTTCGTTCCCTACGGCCCCGAATGTGTGTACCCCGTCTCATTTCAATTTCGTCCTAGGCTCATATCAATCGCTCTGCCAGAGACAAGGTTGTGTTCAGACTATTCCGGCTCCATTCCACTCACCCTACTGAACCCAATGGTGGGCACAGAGAGGGAGAGGAGATCCGTAGGCACGACATTGACAATCCCCATCCATCCTCGTCTCGCAGTCACTGGCCATTGGGAGAGAGCTGGGAGCATTCTACAAAGTTCAAACGCCCACCACCCTCTTCGGCCCCATCTGCCTTTCGACATGATTCCGTCCCTCCTCATACTGCTTCTGGCCCACGAACCTCGTACACGCAGCACTCCCCAAGCACTTCGGTGAGTAATTATTTGTTTCCGGCCTTTATTCCTGGCTGATTTATGGGTAGCTGGGTAAACGCGTTTCCCTTGATGATGGCTCCCCGGAAGCCAAACGCCCTCGCCTCGATGGCTATTCTTCTCTTCCCAGAAATCCTGCTTCACAAGACTGGGACTCGAATCATCTTCAATCTCGATGTGAGGAGCTCGAAAGGAAGCTAGAAGCGTCCAACAAACTCAACGCAATCCTCGAGGCGCGGAACAAAGAATTGGAAATGTTGATACATGATGTAGAGCGCGAGTGCCGACAGCCATTTGTTGTGCCCCTCCTGTTGGATGCGTTTGTAGAAGTCTCGAAACTTACGAATGCAGCTACAAATACAACTGTATAATAGCGATGATAATCCAGGTGCTTATTTGCATCAACGGCAGCACGATGCTAGAAGTACGG